TACACCTATCTAATTTGATATATTTTGGATATGATTGACTCTAAGCCCACTACTTACATCCCACTTAAATATTCTAAAAGTTGTTGCAAGTTTTGCATTATACATTAGTAGCAACCTTTTTTTTTTTATTATTCAACCAATGGCAGTGGATGGCATCTATACAGGCCATGGTGCGGGTGGGCTAAAACTCCATGACATGACCTCCGTGCCTTCACTGTTCTAGGAAAAGATTAAAAAAAAAAAAAAAAAAAAAAAAAAAAAAAATTGCTCTAAGCATTTCTGTAAAACCGAGTTTTTACGGCCACACCAATTTTTTTTTCTTTATAGCAGGCAGAACTACCAAATATGTAATGTATGAGATGGGAAAAAAATACAAATAAAATTAGTCCAAATACCAGTTTTAGTTTCTCTTCTGAGTGTTGAAAAAATATTGGTGGGAAAAATAAAATAATAATCTTTTTTAAACAAGTGTTTGTGGTGTTTCCTATATGACTCCAGTTGGATAGACAGACTGATATCCTTTCATTCTGCCTGGGTCATTGTATCCCAGGTTTTTAAGTACTTGGGGTATATGACAGGAAATTGTCATAGGAACCTCCCCAACTGCTTGATGTTAATGTTGTTTAAACTCAGTGGAAATTCTGAGAATTGGTTTGATAACTGGCAGATGTTCCAAGGCATGTCCGGCAGATAGGTCTGCAGCTCCACACTGTAGACAATGGTAGAGTGGCCTTGTTGTTATGACTTTCCAGTCTCTTTGTAATACAGTCAGTAACCCAGTCCCAAGTATCTAAAGAAAGGGTTACTGGCAAAGTTTTTCTTTTAGTGTGAATAATAAAAATAACAGGGAAAACATCAGGAATTACTTAAAGTTTTTCCACAGGCAATTATTGGTGGAGTGCTATTCAAGAAAAACAATTGGTGTGCCCTAAACCATCCTGGCCATATTCTGTCAATATTCTTGTCAGAATAAAGATGGTGTTTTGTCTACTATAGAACAACAGGCACAGAAGCCATGGTCACTGTTCGGAGCTTTGCTACTGGCATGTAGTTGCCACTGGTTGATGTTCTGCTGGTTCTTATGGAACCTTGAAATAAGAAGGGTTTTAGTAGGTTGGGTCCCCAAGATACTACATATGAGTTATATTCATCATGCCCTCCCTAGCTGTAAGGATTAACCAATGAAGGCAGGAGTCATTTGCAGTCAGCCACTCTAGTGAAAAAAAAACAAAACAGACACAACTGAAATATATGTTTTTCCTGATATCTTCAATCTTGATGGTGATTTATATTATTTTCCAGGAAATAAAGCTAAAAAGAGACTTTAAGTCTAGAGGGCCACATAAGTGAACAAGTTTTGCACATGCAATACACAACAGGTTCAACTGTATGTGGCATGGATACTTGGCATCCGGCATTTGTGTCCAGTTCACCATAGCAAGAACAGACATCCTGTGTTATTGGTAAAAATCTTGTACCATTCTTGATGAAACTATAAAATACGACTGCACATACAGTCAGTAATTCACCACTGAAATAAAATCAGCAACACAGTGCTCTTAAAGACACTTTCCTTTATCTAAATAAAGTTATTGTCCCCTAAAATACTAAGAAGTTCTTCCCTCCTTCATAAACAAGATGAGTTGGCTATTGCCTGATATTCTGTGCTCTTACTTTCTTACTAATCTTGGAATACAATCATTCGGTGGAGATAATCCGGAATAATATCACAAACGAAGGAATGGGATGCATTCTTGTACTTGTAAGACGTTTTTCAAGGAAGTAGATTTAATAATCTGTAAAATGTTTACTCAATCATCTCAATGCAGACTATGAAATCACGTCAACAATCTTCAATTAAGAACTACAATATGTACTCAATTATATTATAATAAATAGTTCTTCACGAAATAAACACTTTTTTTTGTTTTCGAAAGACTACAACAATCTCATTCAACGGCGTTTTTACCCAGTGTTCCCTCCTGATTTTTTATTATAACGCCTTTTCTCAACGGTAATGAAATAACTTTACATATCTGACTACCTTTAGCATTCTGCGTGCCATTTCCTTTTTGTAAATTAATAATATCCTCGTCCGTGAATCCCGTCCAGACTCGAGATGTCATTTTGTGTTTACATATGGGACCGTCCGCAGGAATGCCAACCGCCAGTGCCAATATATTTATTTTAACTCCCCCAAATAGCATATATTTACTTGAAAAAAGGCTATATTATTAATTAGATAACTATCTTATTATTATGAGCCATCGTATTGGCTTTCAATATATTTTTTATATTCCATTTGATAGTATTTTATTGTCAAAAATTGTTGGTACTTCTGAAATCTTGCCAGGTAGTTAGAAGGGATGATGGCTATTAGTGTTGACATATTTTATCACGATTGAATTTCGAATTATATAGCTATGAGATATTACCCTTATAAACATGTTTTTTTTTCCCTAACTCATTCACTCTGTTTCTTCTCTTCCAACATTTTCGA